CCCTTAATTCCCCCACCCGCGATATATGACTTATCTATTTATGTATCTATCTCTCTGTCACCTCTCCCCTGATCTCGAATTGCGAGATTCGTCGGATCAGACTTATGCAGCGAAGTTTAATGAATGATTATCTTACAGGATCCTACGTCATATACGTATATGTACGCGTACACCGATCGTGTGTTTCCTCGGTTTTCTTTGCTCGCTTCGTATCTTTTTTTTTTCATTTTTTTTTGTTCTTGTTGTTGTTCTTGTTGCTCTGTTTTAATTATAATCTGCGCGGCGGCATCCTCGTATATCGGAACGTAGATGCTAAAGAGAATACCTATAAATATAGTTTATATGTATATATATAGAATATAATATAATATAATAATATAATATAATAATAATATAATAATATATATAATATAATATAATAATATAATATAATATATATGTTTATGTCATCACCGTACCTTTTACGCATCTTTTTTTTCTCTCTCTCTAATTTATACTTAACATAGAAAAAATATAGAATTTACTTTGCCTCGAACTTAAATATAATAAACCTCTCTTTCTTTCTCTCTCGAGCGTCGATTATAATATATATATAAATATATGATTTTTTTTTTATTCGTGTGTCTGTCCGTGCATATGAATTATACGTGTACATATATATTTGTGTGTGTACGTGTGCGTGCGTGCGTGTGTGTGTACGTTGGATTGCATTCACGCGTGTCTGCTTTTAGTGTTTGAGCGCGTGTATATGCGTGTGTGCGTGTACATGTTCGTATGACGTGTGTTCGTGTCTACATTCGTATAAATAATTCCTATTTATACATGTGCGAGTGTTAGTATGCGTGTACGTGTGTCCGAGATACGTGATGCTTCAATATAGTAACAAATAATATATTATATATATATTAATATACACTCGCGCGTAATCGTTGCGCGTCTCTCATGTGTGTGTTTTTTTTTATTTTTTAGCCCGCGTGCGCACGCGCAATCGTGAAATAAACGTATGCATGCGCGAGAGACTGTCTATCTGTCTGTCTGTGTACGTGTATCTCTGCGTGTGTGTCTCTTTTAGTCATGGTTAACCGGTTAGCATACTTGATAAAAACGCGTGTCGACAAGAAGGAAGAGTCTTTTTTTTTCATTTTCTTTTCCGAACGAAGAGAACGACACGGGAAAAATGAGGGGTGCGCGGGTTTACGGGCGTGAATTCACGGGGAACGAGGGGGCGGAAACGTTCGAAACGAAACACACAACGAACGAAGAGACATCTAAAAAAAGAAATAATAAAAAATACGACGAAATAAAAATATCATTAAAAAATATAGAAACGAAGGGGGTGAGCCTGGCTGAGAAACTACCGAGACACCCGTTATACAGAGCTGCTGCTCGAACGATCGAAAAAATATCTTCTTTCTTTCCCATCATCCCTCAACACTGGATGAGGCTTATAATATATAATATATATATATATATATTATATATATTTATATGTAATATGTATTAATAATACACCTCAACTTTTTCGGAGCTGCGACTTGAGCATATCTTCGTTTAAAAATGGCAACGATTGACAAGAAGTTTCGACGATTTAAAGAAACGGAACGAAGTAATAGAAGGGACAGACGGTAGAAGAAAGACGCGAAAGTAATTACGAGATTAGTTAAAAAATATAAAAAAAATAGGAAAAATCGAACTCGAAATCGAAGTTGGCATAAATATATTAAAAAAAAAGGGGCACACGGGCCCGTCGAACGTGGACGGGCCCGATTTCGGCTCCTGCTTAACGGCTACTAGTGTAGTTTCCTTCCTCGGCTTCTTTCCATTCCTTAGGGTCCGACCGATCCGACGATGAGGATCGCTTTTGCCCAGCACTTTCTGCCGTTCGAAACGCGAAGTTTTCAATTAAAAAAAAAAAGAAGAAAAAAAATTAAAGAAAGAAACGGTAAATGGAACACAGAAGAACATAGAGACACGTACCGATCGCCCTCTCGGTCGAGTCGCGGTGACGAGTACCGCGAGATCGCGAGTCTCGTCCGCTGCCAGGACGCGTTCGCGAGGAAGGACGAGAAAAGGGACACCCGCGGACACAGAACGAGAAAAGAAAAAAAAAACCATGGTCGTCCTTCCCCCTTCAGACGCGTGTCTCGCTGTCGCGGAGGGCGCGGTAGAGTGACACGTATATAGGCGTCCGATATACATCTATACGAGATATAATAATGCAATATAATAGAATATAATTACGACTCTTCAAAGAAAAGCTAAATACACGGGTCGTCGATCCCTACGTGAAACATACATCGTTTTAGTCCTTCTTTGAAAGAGCGAGCGTGACGCTCGATTATTACTAGAGCTCAAAGAATATACACTTATATGCGGGAAAAAAGTCGGCCGTGCCCGATTACGGAACGGGTCTCGGCCGACCCGGCTCTTTCTTTCCCTTGTTCTCGTTCTTTCAGCCGGGTGTGGAGGCCGGTTCACGCGTTCCCGCGATGCGCCGTCTTCAAAAACGTTTTTTGTTTCCCTTAAGCGCCGTTTTCTCTGTTTTATCTTTTTTCTCTTTCCTTTTTTTTTTCTTTTTTTCTTCGTTTAATATATATAATTCTTATAATAATTTTCCTTTGTTTCCGGAGTGTGCCAGCCGTCCCCGACCACCCGTCGTCCCGTCGACGAAACGCGCGAAAAATACAAAATCTAAATCTCCTCGATAAAATATCATCCCTCTTACTGCCCGTCAGACTTTTCACTGACACCGTGTGTATAAATATACATATACATACACACATACATGTATACATATACACATACATATATTTATTTATTTATGTTTATATTTATATATATATATATAATATATATTATTAATATTATTATTATTTCAATTGCTATGTCGCTTATATAAAGGTAAGATAATACTCTAGTAGCGAGGGAGGCTGGGTGGAACGGGCACGCCATTTTTATAATACTATCATCTAAGTGGTTTTCGCGGCGGATCGAGGGACACGTGTGACCTCTCTCACCCCTTTTTCTACTCTCTTCTCTCGTGTAAAGTGTGCCTGTGTACGATGAGATCGCCTGTGGTATGTGCGTGTGTGTGTGTGTGTGTGTGCGCGCGTGTGTGTGTAAAAGTGTTTACGGTGTCGAGTTGCGTCCGTGTGGGGATAATTAATTATTTCGGTAATCGTTCGCTGCGGTTATGCGCGACAAGCTCGCAAGGTCTCGGAAGGCCCTAATCATCGATACGTCCGTCGACAGAATCGTTTCCTGTTGGGACGCGTTCTCACTTTTCATGCGAGGTAAAAAAGTAAACGGAGAATCGTAGACGTTGCTCGACGCCGTTCGACTGCGCTTGCTGGTCCAAGACGATCAACGCAACAAATTATTCGTTCGACATTGGCGGTGAAATTTCTGAAGCTTTGCTGTCGACGGACGCACGATCTTCCACTGTCTCGCACTTTCGTCGCCTGTGCTGCTTAACCAGGTTCGAATCGTTTGATTATCACCGAACGCGGTCCACGATCGCGTGACCTAACCTATATAAAACGTGTTCGAACAAGCAGCCGTTTTTAATTTCTTCGCGAGAGGGAAGAATAGTCGTTTCCCCGAATCTAGCTTGGTTCTTGCTCGACGCGATCAGCTGTTCGCTTGCCGCCATCTTCGCGTTATCGGTCACGTGATCGCAGTGAACCGCGTATGAGCGTAACGATCAAGAGAGCGAATTGAACTCGACGGTAACTGCATCTGTTTGTCGTGAACATCGACGGTCGTAATTTTCATTGATCGTACAGCGCGATAAATGGGGACGTCACGATGATTGGTACACGTTTTCTAAATAAAAATATAGAGCTCGTAGAAATTTTATTTATCAGTGTTTCTAAGCACCCTTTGATATAGTATTTCATAATGTTGTATGGAGTACTGGCGTAATGAAAATTATAACCCTCGATCGTCACGAGCGTTGTCGGATACGCGACGCGAGAGAAGGACAGAATAAAAAAATATCACTAAAATATTTACGTAAGTCTTAAACTCTTATAGATTGTCAACTGTATAAAAAAAAAAGCAACGATTCGATAACGGTTAATATCATCCATTCCAGTTTTCCGGGCTGCCTCCGATCAAAGGAATTTATTTCAAAAAAATACGAAAATACCACCAGCGAATGGAATGTTACGAAACGACGTCGCGATCAATAAACCAAACGCTAACTGAGTCTAATCTTTCGACGAGCAAAGTCTTTCCGCGTCGAACGTTATATCCCGTTGTGTTCGAAGGCAACCATACGAATGGCGTAGTCAAATCCTTCTTCCGCGATCAGGAATTCGGTCGATTTGCTCTCCGTCACGCGACAGCTCCGAAATTGTTCGTACGATGGGTGAACCCTGCGAGCCCGGTCTCTACGTGTCGTGGGTTAAAATATGAAAAAACGATGACAATGCGAATGAGCGAGTATGTTTTATCTCTCTCTCGTTCTATATATCTCGTAGAACTTAAAAGCTGACTTCGTTGTATCCGGTCGGCGGGAACGACGCGACAAGGACCATTGTATATCGGGGCATTCCCGGCGCGTAAAAGAGGTTATTGGCAGCAGTGGAATTGAGACATTGTGCGCGTTCGCTCCCCCGACGTTGCCGTGAGATTCGCGCGCCGCGGCGATTAACGAACGGGGGACGCGAGCTATACGGAAAAATTCGGGATGGGCGTTCTCCAGCGCCGTCGTTCCTGGATGAGCCGCCAATGTCGAAGAGCTGATCAATGGTGGGGATCGGTAATACAGCCGCTGAACCAGGCGCCGCGACGCAAAAGAGCCTGCAGAATCTCTCATATCTCTCATCTCTCATATCTCTCTCTCTCTCTCTCTCTCTCTCTCTCTCTCTCTCTCTCTCTCTCTCTCTCTCTCTCATCTCTCTCTCTCTCTCTCTCTCTCTGATCATCTCTCTTGCTCTCTCCCTCTCTCTCTCTCTCTCTCGCTCTCTCGTCTATCCATCGCGGTCGTCAGGTGTTTAAGAGAAGATACGAAGCGCCTGCAAGACGGGCCTGGAGCATACTGGGCAGCTGGGATCGGAACTCTCGCAGACCCGGTTGCCGCAATCCAGACAGAAGTGATTATGTCCGCACGGTACCAGGGCGGCGGTGACCTCCTTGTCGCCGCACACCACGCATTCCCGTCGTCCACCGCCCAACAGCGAGTCCGTGGGTGACGCTGGACTCGCCGACGCCGGCGGCGATGGCCTCGAGGGTAGCGCGACGCCGGGGAACGACCAGATCGACGACGCGGATGCTGTCATGGATTCGAACGACGGCGACTCGCCGAGACCCTCGTCCCTCTCCATACCGGCGCCCCAGATCGCCACCAGCTCGTTCAGTCCGGGCGCGCCGGAACTGCTGGACGAGCTGCTGCAGCTGCCGCTGCTGCTGGAGAACGCGCCGCTGGACCCGTTCGAGCCCTTCAGACCCTTCAAGCCGGGCGGATCGAGGCAGCAGAGGATCGAGCCCAACCCTCCGTGACAGAGCGCGTTCAGCAGTTCCGAATCGTCCAGGTTCGGTCTACCGCCGGTCCTCAGCGCGATGTGCGCCTCGATCTCGCGTCTCGCCGCCTCGACGCTCTCCGGGAGACCGGTAACTTCGAACACCGGCTCCTTGTCGCGACTCGGCGTCACTATGTAGGTGTGCGTCTGATGCTGGATTCTCTTGATGGTCGCGCCCTTGGGCCCCACGACCAGACCCACCACTCTGTACGGGACTCGTACCTGAATCGTCACGTGGCCCGGAACCGACGCCGGCGGACCCGGTGGAACACCCAACAACGCGCCCAGCGAGCTCTTGCGCGACGCGCGGATCTGAGAGAAGTGCTCCGCGGCGGACAGAATCTCGCGTTTCGCGCGGGCCACGTCCTCCTTGCGTCCCGTCACCACGAACACCGGCTCCTCGCCGCGCACCGGCGTCTTGATGTAGGTGTTCGTCTTCGCTCGCAGGGCCTTGATTTTACAACCTGCAATCAAAACAACAACCATTCAGATACAATTTTACTGGAACCGGGCACATACACACTGGTGGGCAAAATTACATATAAGACAGTTTGAAAATGACTGGTTTAGATACTTGATATCATAGTTAATGAAAATACGTTTCATCGGATCAAAATTTATTATCATACAATAACATCGTCATAAATTTTGGTAGTGCCTAAATTGGTATTCTTGATCTTCGTTTTATTTTAGCCTCCAAAATATCCTATTAAAATTTTATATACCGGATAATTGGACTATATCTCCATATGAAGTGATACGAAGTGGCGGTTTGAAAACTGGACCACTTTTATGGGGTTTTTCTCAGTTTACGGGGGCAAGGAACAACTTTGCGAATATTCTTAGAATTTCTACATATTCTTCAACAAAATACGCGTCGTTTGCCTTTTGAAACATTAAAATCCTTCGATCCGTTCAGAAGTTATGATGTTTTAAACATACGCATGCAATTTTAGTGAAACATATCAATGGTATGGTCAGGCAGTACATTTTCGGTAAGGTATATTTTTCTGGTAAGTGCGTAGGATTTCGAGGGTATGTGTATTCACCAAAAATGATTGTAATTGACTCCTGCAACTAAAAATAATTTTTCCAGAATGATTTGAAATTTTTTAATTTATCCACCTTCTATTATAGTTGTTCGGATAACCGGGTGTCAGATAATCGGAACATTATTGTACCAGTTTTCTTGATTTCCCGATAAACCATTCCTGGGATATAAAGCGATATATGCGTTCCTGTCGGCGAATTTATAACACGAAGCCCTATCGACGCGGATCCTGAGGACGATGATTCCCGTTGGTAGTCCGCGCGCCTAATACGCGCCGGTGCAGCAGTTTTTCTCCGTGACGCAATTGTCTGTACTCGAGGAGCAACAGACAGCGCGCGTATAAGCCCGCGCGATACGAAAAAGGAGGAGCCGAGGCGGCAGGATGCAGCATAGAAGCAAGAACGATGGAAGGTAGACAGAGAGCAGGGTGCAGGAAACTGGAAGGAAGGAGGTCCCGACCCGGTCTGGTCCTCGGTCTCGCAGACTCTCTGGCCTTGAGCCGGCGCAATGCTAGCAATGCAGGTGAACCACTCCTCTAGCTTTCCTTCTTTCGCGCCACGGTTCCTACGACGTCCCGTCTCGCTCGTCGTCCACCTTTCTCCATCGCGCGTATCCTTCACGGGCTTCATCCTTCTCACCCTTTCTCTCTTTCTCCAAGCTCTCTTTCATTCAGTTCACTCTCTCCTTCGAACGCGAGTACCAACGAACGCGACACACGGCCAGTGGCTCCTCCGCGTATCGCATACCATCGCCTTTCCGTTTCTTTACCTCTCTCTCTCGTCGTCGCACGTCGAGTTTCCACGTTCATTAGCGACTTTTTAATTGCGTCTATCGACGGTGAAACGCGATCGTAAATCACGCGATGATTCGGGATCGGGAACCGACCACAGGAACTCGACGAAAAGTTGTTTCTGACTCCTCTCCGATCGAAGATCCGACCTTTCGAGGAGAACGAGAATTGGAGCAAATCGTTTCGATTTATATCACTTTTCATAATAAAAGTTCATTCGTTATTCCAAGTAAATGAATAAACGTATCAGATTCTCCCAATTTCATCTTGTTAGAAGAACCCGTGACGTTTCCCGCGCTCGCCAGCAGAGGTCTACGCTCTTGCCTCTCTCGCAAGCAGTCGACCATCTATTTTTATATCTGCGCTCCTCGACCGACCATCGTACATTTCAAAACGAAACTTTCCTATAACGGAACACACAACAAACCGCCACAAACCTGACAGCGCTGCGGAGGAAACTCTGGGGGCGGACCAAAATAGACACGCAAGCGTTCCACCCTTTCTCGCGCAGGTTAATATAAATACAACTTCCAAAACTCGCGGCCACGTGCTCCCATTCACCGAACAACCCTCTCGATAAAGACGTCTCGAAAATAGAGTGGAAGATCGAAACATCGACGCGATTTCTGCCGCTGTTGCGCACCGACCAAAGAATCGCCTGCAAGCGAAACAATATTACGTGTAAAAATAGCAAGAAACAGCTTATCGACCACCGTGCATCGACTCGAGGGGCCATCGGGGGATAGTTGCACGCAACCATCCCGTGTTGGTTCGATCAAACTGGAAGGCGTTTTTGTAGAAAGCCTCGGGAGAGACGCCTTGTGCGCGCTCCAGGAGTTTCCTTTCGCGAAGGTCCTCGCGCGCGACGCGACAATGTCACGGGCGTCCATGGCGGCTCTTCAGGGACGCTGCGGCGCAATCTTGACATCGATACTCAACCTGCACGGACACACGCCGGATTCGCGTTTACGTCGTCGAGAGGAAAGAGACGCGACCAGCACACGCACCGGACCGCGGCGCGAGGCCGTCTCGGGGGCGCGAGCATAATTACGCCCGTAACGAGTTTCTTTCCCCCTCGCGGCAGTCACGATCAATTCAGGGAATTTCACGCGCGGAAACGCGCTGCTTTCGAGGGTCGTTCGAGCCGTCTAGGCGTGACGCCATTGTTTCGATTCGTCCTTAACGAAAATATAGTAGTCTCAGGACCAGGAATAAAATTGCTTCTTGATACGAAGCTTTAAGAGGACTCTGGGTGTCTCTGTAGCCCCTTGGTGAATGACCAAAGGTTGGATTACAAACTCTCGTGATCGAGAATAAAGTTAGTTATGAGCTTTTAAGGTTCTCCAGGGCGATAGAATTTTCTATATGACTTGTAGTGGCTTTACGAGTCATCACTAGACTGTGGATATTTATGCAGAAATATAAGAAATACCTTAAATAAGATACGAATTATTATATTTAGAGGTTTAGACAACCCGTCACGGAGCTCCTATTTCATTAATTCTATTAATAAAAATATGAATTTGCATTAAGATCCGCAGTCTGGTCTCATTACATAGTTTTGATATTAGGGAGGTTTTCAAAATTAATTTGTGTTCTGATTTACGTTCCATTTTTTCATTTGGGTTTCCAGGCAACAATAGTATTTAATAAAAGTCGAGGGAGGAGTGGAAAGAAAGTTTCAAAATTACTCAAATTTTCAACCACACAGTACGACTATTAAAGCTATTCAAAATACGAGTAAAAACTTTTTTCTCTACGAGGACCAATGTACGCTCTGCCGTCGTGTCGCGAACAGCCATTAAATAATTATCCTGTAAAAATTTTGTCTTTCTACAAAAATAAAAAACGCATAGAAAACAAACTCTTTTATTCCCTCTTTTCTTGCACCATTCCTTTTTGACCATATATCTGTATCATTTTTTCAATTCGTGGATTAAAGACATAAAATAAATATAAATAAATGCGTGACGATATCCGAACGGTATGTTAACCTTTTTGTTTTGTAAACGATACAGTGCGTTCGCAGCCCGTTATTTCAAACAACGGTATAAAAGTTAAAATTCGAATATTCTAAAAATAAAATATCGGCTAATTGATATTGCCAAAGATTTTTCATAAAGCAACGAAAATTTGTAAATACGCGCACGGTAACACCGTTTTGAATTGCGACCTTTTATCGAACCGATGCATTTGCTGATTGGTTTCACCGACGCAACATGAAACCGTGGTTCGATCTCAATTTTTTTTTTTTCTAGAAGGTACCGGTTCGCATTCAACGTAATTACTGTGCATGTACGAAATGCATGAAAACGCGAAACGACGGGGACAAGCTTTAAATTAAGCTCGTAAGTTTCGAGTTAGGTTGTAAAACAGATGCTGTTGCGTTGTATATTTTACGTTCTTCTCTGTTATACGCATATTTTGTTGTGGAACTAATATTTTATAAAGATGGTATACTTCAACAATAAGGAAAGATGCAAGATATAAAAAAGGGTTGAAGACTCGAAAGGCGCACGGATGGCATCCCACCGTGAAATTAAAGAATTCGCAGATTGAAAGACGCCCGAAAGCAGCCTTTTAGCGTTTCACGCGGCGAAAATCGCAATCCCGTTTACCGTGAGAAACGTTTCGTAACGCGAACGACGCTGAAAAGCGTCGCAACGTCGATTCGCGTCCTCGAGTCAGCAGGGTAAATCCTGTTTCGGTTTCATCGATCACGCTTTATTTTCGGAACCCATTGTACCCAACCTTCTGCCGTCTCGTTTCTTCCTTCCAGCCGGTTTACCTTCCACGATTATATTCATTCAGCGGTTACATACCTCGTGCGCCTCTCCCTTTAACTTTCCTCAACCCTGAATGCAAGTGCTCGAACGCCTCGACTTAGTGGAAGTGATTTGCACTTTGGAACACACCGGGACCGCAGCCGTGAAAACGAGACGCGTCGGTTCTGATAAGGTCGCCAACGAGCTGCGTGCACTCTTTTTGAGAAAAATTTTTTACGAGATCCGAAACTTTAAATTCAATAAAATCGCTTCTCAATTAAACTCAATAAATTCAAATCTGTTTCGGTACTTATTTTCGTAAGCACGCTAAAAATGTGTTTCATCAGCAAGTTAGAAACCTGCTACTTAAAACATGATTTGTCAAACGCACGCAAACCGGCCGAAATGAAAGGTTAAAAAATCCAATTTCGACGGCGAATGATAAAACTGCGTCCTGTCGCCTTGGTCAGCGTCGTAACTCTCGTTCAAGGATTCGCCGTTGCACTGTCAACGCGCAGTTTCTTTAAAGCCCGTGCACGCTTGCCAATAACCACGCAATTCCTCCTCGAACGCCACGGAACCGGACAAGGTTACGACCCACGATCGAACCAGAGCATTTTACGGTCGCGCGTCAGTGTTTTATGTACGTTTGAGCATCTGAAAACCAAACGAAAGAAGAAACGCACGAGCAGTTTGTCCATCCGAGTGGAAATGGAGCGCGTATCGTGTGTCAACAACTGTGCAACCGTGCAAACGTACGAAAACGCCGCGGGTGAGAACCGGTCGTTATTCCTAGCTGGCAAATTGTTAAGCTCGCCACGGACCGAGGGTAACCATTATTATCCGTAATCCAAAGAA